ACGTAATGTAGATTATCATTTTCCACATCTATTCTAAATGTATGACGTCAGCTTGCTTCAATCAACACGGGTAACTTTACTTAGCAACACCACTTCTGAAAACACGGCAGTGTCAAGTTTCATTTCCTTGCCAGACTGACTTAACCTAACGTAGGACTAGAAGTAGAGTTTTATATCTGCACCAAAAGACCCATTGACGAGATTAAGAACAAAAATCTAATGAACAGAGCGAAAATGTGGCGCTCATAGGGTAACTTGTGGGTATGTCCAAGTGTCGAGGAGTACTCCCTTATATGGGCTATAACTATAGGTATGCGCGGCCCCAAAGGCTATGGGTTTTTAGCCGTTTCAAATGGTCAGAAATAGGGTATCGATTTTGGCCATTTTGGTCCCAAATAGGGCATGGGTTTTGCACTCTATTTTTGAACTGTGTATTGCTTTTAGAAGAAGTTACTTTTTCATCATTATCAATAAGACCATCAACAAAAGCACTTTAAAATGCCTTAAGCGTCAGTCTGAACTAGGGAACTAATTCTATGGCAGGTCTGAAACAGGGTATTGATTTCAGGGTCAGGTCTTAGATAATGTATCGAATTTTTGGTCAGGTCATAAACAGAGTAGGAAAAATCGCAAATTTTGGTTTTAAATAGTGTAAGTGTTCTGGGAAGCGGGCGGCCATCTCCCCCTCCCCCTCGCTCGCGTCCAAGCGAATCCAAGTGCAATTGAAACTTACAGTTATCCTTGTGGTTTTTCCGCTGCGCCTGTCATTTTCAGGGAAAGCACAGGAATCAAAGATAATCCCGAGAACTTGAAGTGGTTCAGAGGAAGGAACCAAATATCCGAAACCTTCTACAGGCACGACACTTCCCTCGTATTCCAGATTGACAACACCCACTGTTGTGTTATGAATATTTTTCAGCTCAGATGCGAGTCCTTCCCAGTCCTCTGGTAGAATGTTAGCGAGTGTCTGTGCTGGTATGCCACTTATCACGTGATCTACTGTTATCTTCTCGTTTGGCCATGCCACTGTCAGCCTGCCATCAGTGTTGAAATTCACTGCAGTACAGGGCGTGTTCATCTTGAAATCAACTCCTCGCTGCTTTAGTACTTCAAGTAATTTGTCACAGAGTGTTTGCAAACCACCTTGGAGCGACCATGTGCTCCAACGTTCCTCCTTGGCTCTCGTTGCTAACGGGCTCAGAACGGTGGTGTCAGGAGCTGAAGGATGAAAAAGAACCATAGACTAGCAGTGATCAATTCAATAATAGGCCAGTTTTAATATTTTGAAATTCTAACATATGGCTCTGAGGTTTACGGGACTAAACAGAAAATCACATTGAGGTTGAGGCAAGAATGGGTGATTCCAGAAAATATCCCTACTCTACCACATTTCAGTTCCTTCGTTTTACTCCCCTAAGTCTCATAGCCATCTTGGAATTGAAATATATTGAAATTTGCCCTTTAGAAAAGGTGAGCTAAGTGACCGAGTAAGTAATTATAGCAAACACAAGAGACGGTTTTTCATCAGGATATCCAAACACCAAGAAGAGAGTTGAAAATATGACGCACAGCAGAGTATTTCTGACAAAATTTGAGGTGTTTGGATAGCCGATGAAACACTGTCTTGAGTGTTTTCAAGATATATCTTCTCGATTAAAACAAACACCACGGAGTAAACGGAGAAGTAAACTCGTCAAAATCTATGCTAATTAAGACTGAGCATCCAAACCTCCTTCACGGTTGTGATTTTCTTTGATGAATTATTAACGAGTTTTAGAAATAAATAGCAAACTTCCGATATTTGAAATGGCTCATATCTATTATTGATCCACTGGAATAACTGCTTTTTAAAGCTTATCTAGAACCCTTAAATGAATCCTTATCAAGAGGACAGGTTACAAAAACAAGTCCAGCCATTAACTCTTAGATACAGTATCGTCTTGATGTACAACCTAATTCTCAGCATTGATATGGAAAGAACTTTCAGCCAATCAGATAAAGATGACGACCTGATGGGTTCCAGTTTGAATCAACAAAGATCAGCCATGAGTTTCCTTATTAAATGTACCTTCTTTTGTAAAGAACACCCCTTTGATTATAGAGCCATGTTGATTCTCATACTGATACACAGGTGGGAAGCACGACTTGAGGCTCAACAAGCGAGTGTCTCCAGCAAAAATCCCTCGGCACAATGGGTCACTGAGATACTCTGCAACCTTCAAAAGAAACACTCACATGTGTGACGTCAAATGAACACAGGGATAGTTTGTAAATCATGAGTTTAACATAAGCAATCAAGTGAATCAAGTGATTCAAGCTGATCATCTTTAAAAGCTTCCTCAATCATGGTCAATGTTTCCAGTATGACCTTGCATCCAGTTGGCAAAAAAAAATAAGGGGTACATAGTGCTTTCTATCAGATAATTGCTGTCTAGTGATAAGTGACAATTGACCATGCTATGTTAGGCACAGTGAATGGTCATTCAAAAACTATGCGTCCTGCAGTCTTTTTTTTCACAAAGTTGTCTCGGAGTTTCGATTTTTTGAGGGCAACATGTGGAAGGAAGAATTGACGTCTCAATTTGCTTGTTTGTATTTTTTAGTGACTTCTGAAGGTCTTAGAGTATGAATGTCTTGCACTCACTGGCTTTTAAAACACTTTGAAGTCGCAGTCTTGCATTATTGACGCAATTTCAAAAGTCAAAATCTAAGAATGACTTGGGCTTGCAATGAAAAATGCTAGACTTGCCTTCTTCCAGTCTCACATTTACATCCCTTATGCTATCCATTTGATAGTGATTTATCTGGTGTGCATAACATTGTTCATCCCTCAAACAACTGAGCCCTATCATAGCTATCTTGTCTGGGTTTTGGGTTGGCTTTTGCATGAGCAAGGTACAAGCCAGCAAAGGGGACCTGAAAAGAGAGCTTCCTCACAGGTATGCAGGGGTTTCAATAACAGCTGACAACTGGCAAAATTCACCATCTAAGTCAAACAAATTCTCCTAAATTTATAGCACTGATTGTGGTAAAACTTGAACATGGTATGATGT